GAGGATAACATGTAGTTCATCTTGGCTTGACTCTCGAAAATAAAAGGCATCCCCAGCGGAGTCACTAAGCTGTCGTAACGGTTTGATATCCGCCTAACGAATTTGAAAAAAAATAAAAAAAAGAGAGTCACCACCAATCTCTTTTGGCTAGGTGTGATTGGCCACTTATTAAAACATATCATTTTAATGAAATCTTAAAATTAATTAAAATTTATTAAAAAGATAATTTTAGGGTCTGCATAACAGTTTAGATTCGGGAGTCAATTACATACAGGGAAGGATTAGCACCCTCACAACATCCGTTTAAAATGGTACCAATTAATTATATGTTGTCCATTGATTTTAATAAAAATAGTCTTATTTTCGACGTTTGAAAAATAATTTTTTAAATAATTTCCTTGATTTTTCATTTATTAGAAATTATTATTTTTTATTTTATTTTATTTTTTAGTGCTCAAATTTTATTTGAAAAAAATAAATTAAAACGCTTTTATCAAAATAATTCTTAAAATATTTCAATACGTTGGTAACATTAGAAGAATTGTTTCTCACCTAGAAAATTTTAAGGCATCACTTCTTGGAATACCGCAAAATCTTACACTCGGAGGCTCAAATTTACTTTTCGTAAAAAAGAACTATGTCGTGCATGCAATGCAGAATGTTATCATATTGATGCACACATTTTATTCTCTTTTTTAAAAATTTTATTAATTATTTTATTTAATTTTTTATTTTTAATTTAAATTTTTAAAGAAAAAAAGAATTTTTATTATATTGAAGTTTTTATATAAATATTCCAATAAACTGGTAATATTTAAAAAAAAAACTTCTCACTTAGGGATTTCATAAAGCATCACTACTCGGAATACTTTTAGAATCTCATCATTTGATAAATTTTTTTTCCTTATTTATATTATTATTCCTTTAATAAATTAATTATTTTTTATTTTTTATTAATGAAAAGAAAATTTTTATTATATTGAAAATTTTTTATAAATACTCTAATATTCTTGTAGTATTTAAAAAATCTTCTCACCTAAAGATTTCATGGGCATCACTACTTGAAATACCTTTCAATCTCATCGTCAGATAAAATTTCCTTTTTCTTATTTTTTTATTAATTTTGTATTATAATTATAACCTTTTTTACCCATTATTTTATAAGGTTTATTCAAAATTATCAAAAAAATTTATTATATATTTCATCATTTATTTTTATTAATTATTATAAAACAACAAAAATTTATTTTGGTAAATTTAAACATTTTAACATGCATAAATATTAAAAATAATAATTAAAATAACAAAAATAATATATAAAAAAATCTTTAAAAAATTTCAAAAAATATTTTTTTTACCTAAATTGGACTGATCAATGGTCTCGTCAATGCACGGTTTGGTTCAATAATATAGTCTGGTGCCAGCAGTTTGGTCTGATTAGGGTGGTTTGAAGTTAGCAGTTCAAAGACGGTTCGGTTCGATCTTGGTCGATTTAGCTAGACTTGTCAGAGGCTAAAGGATGGATGGGTCGTCAGGTCGGGGTGCGCGGATCTCAAGTTGGGTCACGGGTTAAAGTGTGGATCTTCAGGGACTAAAACGATGTCATTTTGGGCATTTAAATGAAACGACATTGTTTTGGGTTTAGTCTTCAGTATAAAAGTCAGAAAATTTTTTTTCTTTCATTTCTCCCCCTCTCTAAAAAAAGAAAACTCTCATCTCCCTTTTTTTTTTCAGACCGATCTATTGCCAGTGATCATCATTCTTGTCGACCACCACGTTTCTCACCTCCGACAAGCTCCAGTCGTTGTTGTCGATGATCGAAAAATTTTTCAAAAACACTAAAATGCTCCCCACAATCTCTAGAGTCTAGATCTGAGCTTATTTTTGCGAAAATAGGCTCCAAACAGCGTTGCTGGCTTGGAAGGTTCGATCAATTTTTGTTTTTTTGTTTGTGTTATTTTTTTTTTGTTTGGTGCTGTGGTCCTTGTTTCCAGAGGCGGAGTTTTGTTTGTGTTTTGATTCCTCTCCTTTTTTCACACAGAAAGTTTTTTTTTTTTGAATCTGACAATGCTCTTTTTTTATTAACAAGCCTTCCTGATTTTTTTTTATCAATAGCCTCCCTTGGGTTTTTAATCGATCTCCCCTCATTTTCATGCCAAAATTAAGCTCTATTTATAGAGCTTTCTAATATTCAAATCCTAGATTTTCTATGATTCAATCCCACATTTTCAACCCGAAATCCAAGCTGTCAAGTTAGGCAGTATGTCAGGCGATGACTGCTAGTGGTGGCAGTGACTGTGATTTTAGACTTTGGGGAGGTGCATTTAATGCACTCAAATTTCTAACGAGCTAAACCAAAAAAGAAAAGAAAAAGAGAAAAAATAATAATAAATATAAAACGGTGTTTACAATCTTCAATAATCTTATAAGGTGTCTATCTATAAAACTCTACAACTCTCTTATATCTTTTTCTCATATCTAACTTTATAGAGACTTCATTTATTTATAATTATACGAACTTATTTATTAAGAATCACTTTACTCTTAGAATTCTTTTTCTGCAAGTCAAACTTACCTATTAAAAATTTTTTTTCTTTTAAATTTTTTTTTTTACAAATCTTCTTGTACATTAAATAACATCTGGTCAATTCTAAATAAATCTCTTATGGGATTTGAGTTACTATTTTCAATAAAAGCTGCCTGCAAAGTTGGTTTTGGATTGCTCATCACAGATGTAGCATACTTAACAGGGTTCTGGCTTTTCCTTGGTGGCTTCGGCACTGATTTTCCCATGGATTTTCTGTGTCATTGAGAACCTATGTCCTCGTTCTTGTTTAAAGGTTCCCCTGATTTGTTATCTCCACCTGGAACTGGTCTAACTCTTCTCTTTTTCCTACTTTTAGGAACTTGTTGCACGGCATCATCTATCAATTCTTAGGATTGATTTCTAGTGATTCCTTTAACCGCTTTCTTAATTCTCTTGCTACGAATTTTCACAAATCCATGATAAATCCGGTTGCAATCGAGTCTTCAACGAAAAAGTTAAAATATATGGTATCAGTAGCTTCATCTATGATAAATCCATCAACAATCACAAAAAAAAAGAAGCAAGAACAGTCACCACACTATTCTTGATTTTTTATTAAGTGATGCTGCAAATGCTTTCAAGTGCATCATGGGCACAACCATGTACAAATGAGAAGGAGAGGGAGAAGTCTCTAACCTCGCGTTTTTTGTACTCACTTAAAACCGGCAGTAGCAACTTGTCTGATTTCTGCCAAACTTCTCAGAGCACAGTCTGCATGCAATCAAAGCAAATCAGAAAACAATTATCACTTACATAACATACTAAAGCAAGAACCCCAAAAGTGTTAAGTCTTCTTAAAATGTTTGCCAAAAGACAGAACATACTTTAAAGGCAAATAAAATGCGATTACTAATTTTGTTAAAAGCTAAGAGCTAAATGAAAGGCAACTCACTTGCGTAGTACAAAAAGAACTGGCCTTCTCCATTTAAATTTAAATTTAAATTCTACTTAATCATTATCGAGTCAAATTAAATTTGAATAACTCGATTTTTTCAATAAGTTAAATTTAAATTTTTTAATATTCGACTTGAGTAATTGATGAACTTAATAGATGTTTTATATTTTAATATATATTTTTATTATTTTAATTAAAAAATTATTATATTTACTTTATAGATATATGAATTCAAACTCAAACTCAAACTTAAATATAAATAATTAAATTTGAAATTAAACATGAAAATTCAACTTATTTTTTATTTAATAAATAAATTTAATTAAATGAATTTAAATAATTTAATTTTTATTTTGAGTCAAATTTAAATTTAAAATTTAAATTTAATTAAATTTAAAATTTTTACTATACCAACTTAATTCGATACAATTTAACTTGTACCGTGCACAAAATTACCAGCAGATATTAGGCAGAGAGCATTTTGAGGATCGAGAAGATTCAATAGAAAGCAACATTCCAAAACACCTAAAATTCCTCAATATTGACCACAAAAAATTGATGCAATTCTCTAACATGTTATATTATATCCCTTCTGTTCTCCTTTCTCATCTCACATCGCTTTCATGAATTGAACCATCCAAATACTTGCATCTTCGAAAACGAAAAAAACAAAAAGTAAATAGTTTGTTAAAGAAATTAGAATAGTTAGGGTTAGGAATTTGGGGTCACCAATGGCGATTTTCTTCCCAGCTACTGTTATGACGGACGCGCTACAGCCGATAGGAGCCAGTAGTTTTCATAGACCGTGAACTTCCTTTTTGTAGCTTGCTTTGCAAGATTTATTTATTTATTTGTTTATTTTTTCATGGATTTATTATTAGTTACTTAAAAATTCGTTACCTTTGCCGCCAATGCCAAGAGGCTGAGCGATGGACAGAAACTACATCGTTTTGTCTTTTTTCTCTCCTCTCTTGTTTTATCTAGAGTGAGCATACATATATTCTAGATCCGGTTATTTACACAATATGATAACATAATACAAAAATAAAATACAAAAGTGATACGATTTAAAATTTTAATAATAATTATATATAAATTTAATATATTTAAAAATATATATTTCATATTTTTATGTCGATATGAATTATATATAATTTTTATGTAAAATATTATATAAATATACAAAATTTAATATTTTATATGATATAAATATACGAATCATCAGATTTAATTCATTCCAACATTCTTATCAACTGAAATTTTCTTGATTCAATAAATTTGTTTGGTTTATTCAGTTTTACTAATAATTGGCTAAACAAAATAATTTAATATGTTAATTAAATTGTTTTTTTTTATTTTCAAAATTAACAATGGAATCGGTTGAATTAATTAGTTTTTAATAGTTTTTAAATAGAGTTCAATTTTTAAATATCTCATTTATAATAAAAAAAACATTTTCACTATAAATTTGAGCAGTATATATGAAAAATAAACAATTTTATTATGTTATTCCTTCAGCAACAATGAACAAAGGAAGAGCTAAATGCATCGATTCATATACCAATAGAACCTTGAATAAATTAGCTCTATAAGAAAAGTTTGACTTTAGAAACGATCATGATTTCTGCCTCAACGGTCAAAGTATCATTCGCAATGTAGTTTTTGTTTTTGTCCTGGAGATCAAGCAGTGACATGAAGTTTAAAGAACCCCAATCCCGAGATGCAGAAGTAAACCATTGTGAATCTACAAAGGGGGAGAATTTAAAGAGATTAAGAACAAAATAGAAGAAAAATTTGCATTGCAAATGTATCAAGACAAGGTCGATTACATGTAAATTCCCTGTTGTTACTGGAATTGTATCGATCTTTGACTCTTAACTTGTATTGTGCATACACTTGTCGTTTAGGTGGAAGATTGTAACCCTCTACCAGCTCCAAGAACACAGAAAGTGCTATATCCTTCTGGGCTCTGTTTCCTCTGGGATAAACTAACAATCTCCTGTATATTTTCATCGACAGAATCCATAAATACCAACAAATTCAGTAGGAAGTGAAAAAATGATAAGTTTGAAATAAGGCAGTGCTACCATTTCGAGTCTCCAATGGTTTGAATATCAGAGGTATAGGAATCAGAGTATGATTTTGAATAGTTTTGGAGGGTGAAAGTTATTTTATTGTTGGGAGGATCCTTTGTCATGGAAAGACGCTCCAATTTTCCTGTTTGTTTGATCACAAAAATCTCCACCCCAAATGTGCAACAATCATCAACTAAGTATCCATTTGAAGCATCTTTGAAGTGATCAAGAGAGAGTAATTGAGCATTGCCCCATTCAGTTTTCATGTTGTAAAATCGCTTAATCGGCCCATCATCTTCTCCAACATAAAAAAACGAGATTATTATTATCTTATATAAATAGATGGAGTTTGAATTCGAATGTAACTCAAATGATTTATGCACTAATTTTAAAAAATTAAATTCAATAAATTTGAAATTCAAATTAGGGTTTTTTTTTCAAATTATGTAAAAAAAGATAGACCTTCAATGGTTAAGTATTTGTCGCGAATTTGATCAAGTACGAAGAACCTAAAGTTGGCGTATACTTCCCAAGCACGAGGAAGATTTTCTGTCCCTTCAATTTGTAAGTAAAGGGAGATGAAGCCAAAGCCATTGCTTTTCTTGTTTCCATTTGGGTAGAGTGACAACCTCCTGCAGATTGCCAAATGTAAGAGAAAAATGAAAGAGCTTTGAAACAACGCATGTGTAAAAACATAACTAGTTCTTCCATTAGTAGCTCTTATTCAAGCATTTGTAATAAATTTGCCCATCTTCCCTATTTTTTTATTTTTAAATTAGATTTTTTTTAGTATAAAAAAATGAAGATGGTCGCAAATATTGTAAGATCATTCGAATTAAATCTCAATCTTATGAAAAATTAATCTCCTAAAAAAAGGCAAACCATTGTGATTAAATCCCACATTCTGTAGTAGGTAAAACATTTCTCAAAAACGTAAATCTCACCAGTTGTAGCCACCAACTTCAAATGCATGGGATTCATACTTTTCTAACCCTGTGTTAACCAACAAAGAGAATGACTCTATGTTGAATAAATAATGAGCCGGTCGAAGATCTCTTGCAACTCCTTTGATTCCTACAAACATCAGTAAGAATTTCATTACTAAATTGAGTTAGTGTTTCATTTAATCATTTTATCCGTGATCTCAACTAACTTATAATATAAAACAAAATTGTTAGACACAAAGATAGGGATCAATTAATCATCTAATCAAATGGAAGCATAATCAAATCACAAATCAATCACACAAGAGATAATAATTGAATGTGATTTGATACTTAACTTGTCTACATCTACAAATGAGTAAAAAGATACATTATTTATAAAGAACTACAACCAAATCATTGATAATCAATCAAGAGTGAAAACTCTTATAACTCTACTAAACTTTTCCTATGTGATTAAGAGATTGAAGGCAATCTCTCAACAAAAATTTCTTACCTTTTTCTTATTGCTAGTAATTGGGGAAAACAAGATCATAAAGATTTCAAAGATAAGTGATTAAGGTCATATTTAGTGTATATGATGATGATAAGGTGGGATGATAGTTATCTTATATTTTATTTGATTTGTATCTAAAGAATGAGATAAGATTACAAGGATGACTAATTATTTTCTTAGTACAAGATGATTCAATCATCCCAAAGTGGAGAGAATTATGTTTAATCAACAAGATTGAACTTATGTCTTATTATATCTTTAAAAATTATTTTAATAATTTAAATTGTATAAACTTTGAGGAAAGATAATTTTGACCAATAAATAAATTATCTTATCCTATTCCTTACACACATCAAACACAAGATGGAATAACATTATTTAATTTAATCATACTTATCATATCATTTTATTATATCTTATCATATTCTTATATACCAAACACATCTTAAGGATGATAGTTTGATTCAAAAGTAATTGCTATTTTGGAATCATAATATTCTCTTTAAGAAAAGTAAATTTGGTTTTCAACCAACTAACAAAACATGGGAAAGGAAACAGAACATACCAGGTTTCTTCAGAAGCTCTTCCATGAGAAACTTAATTACCTTTTTACTTGCTAACAATATGTAGGAGAAGAAAAGATTTAAGGTTTTAATCAAAGTTGTTCATGTGACATTCTTTTTATACATTCGAATCCTAGCAGGCATCACAAGGTATTCTTACCCTGTAAAAGAAATATCTCTTTGGGATGATATGCTTATCTTGCAAACAGAAAAGACCTCATTAGAAAATGTCAATAATTTAGTGAAAAAAACAGTTTGCTGATTATACAAAAATTTCAAATTAAAAAACCCAAGTTTTACGGATTATGGGATTATATAAAGGAAATGAATATCTAACCAAAAATCATGTGATTTGTTGATTTGATGTTATATTTTTAATTTCAATGATCAAAGTTTAATTTTTGATAATTTTAAATTAAAAAAAAATCTATTTCACAAATTCAATGATGTGATCTATTGGGCATATGCCTAAGAATAACCAGACCATAGCATGCAAATTTAGTATACTATCAAAAAAGGGATGTAGTAAGTAAATATTGAAAAATATATGATCATTGAAAAAGAAAGCATTGGATGCTTTTCTTTGGTTAAGAAAATGCAGAATATTGTCATTGATACCAATCCCATAAAGTAATCTCTTTCAAAATTCTGTTTTGTATTTTTTTAGTTTCCCCTTCTCTAGGAAATTCCTTTTTTAAGATAAATGTTGTGTTTTATTCGTCCAAGAAAGCAGGAATCACATCCTGCAACCAAATCAAATCAAACCATTGAGTACTTTCTGTATCTTGATGAATATTCTCATTGAAATAGACATGCCTTTAAAATCCAACCTTTCCTGTAGCTGCCGGCTCAATTCAAAATTATCAGTAAATTTGGAGCCAAATGGCCTATTCTTTACCTCTATAACTGCAATCAAATACATAAATACGGATATTCACGTTTAAGATATTATTTATTTTAATTTAAAAATTTTATAATTTTAGTTTATAAAAAATATTTCATCAATTTGAATTTAAATTTTTATATGTATCATGTTATATTTACATATTTTTTTAATATAAAATCATAAAAATTTCAAAAATAACTTTTACTGTAAGCAGTTAAATTGGAGTTTTATTAAGTGGGGAAGTTAAACGGGGAAAACCCGAAAAGGAGTAAAGCTTACCCTTCGCACTGCCTGTGGCTGATCTAACTTCTCCGCGTGAACTTCCTGACAATTTTTGCCACCATTTCCAGCAGAAGAGCTGGTTTCAGAATGGTCAAAATCAGGATTTGCTTTACGCCTTCTTCCTGCACCATTACCTCTACCTCTTTCATTGTTTAATAGCTTTTCGCCTGCGAGCTGCCTGCAAAGGTGATTCTGGAGTGCTCATCACAGATGTAGCATGCTTACCAGGGTTCTGGCTTTTCCTTGGTGGCTTAGGCACTGATTTTCCCATGGATTTGCTCTCACATTGAGAACCTATGTCCTCATTCTTGTTTGAAGGTTCCCCTGATTTGTTATCTCCACCTGGAACTGGTCTAACTCTTCTATTTTTCCTACTTTTAGGAACTTGTTGCACGGCATCATCTATCAATTCTGAGGATTGATTTCTAGTGATTCCTTTAACCGCTTTCTTAATTCTCTTGCTACGAATTTTCACAAATCTCTCATTGAAAGTGTAAAAGGATTCCAGTTACAATTGAGTCTTCAATGCAAAAGTTAAAATATATGTTATCAGTAACTTCATCTATGATAAATCCATCAATAATCACAAAATAAAGAAGCAAGAACAGTCACCACACTATTCTTGATTTTTTATTAAGAGAGGCTGCAATTGCTTTCAAGTGCATCATGGGCACAACCATGTACAAATGAGAAGAAGAGGGAGAAGTCTCTAACCTCACGTTTTTCGTACTCTCTTAAAACAGGCAGTGGCAACTTGTCTGATTTCTGCCAAACTTCTCACAGCACAGTCTGCATGCAATCAAAGCAAATCAGAAAAAAATTATCACAGACATAACATACCAAAGCAAGAACCCCAAAAGTGTTAGTCTTCTTAAAATGTTTGCTAAAAGACAGAACATACGTTAAAGGCAAGTAACATGGGATTACTAATTTTGTTAAAAGCTAAGAGCTAAATGTAAGGCAACTCACTTGCGAAGTACAAAAAGATCTGGCCTTCCCCATGCGAAAGGCTCAGTTGACTTATCCACTTGCAAACAAGAATATATCAGCATCATCACTCACAACACTATCCGTAAACCCTTCATTTTGTCAGAGATCTTTTCAAGATGAAAAATGGGCTTTCAATCATAAATTGGGTCTCATTAGAAAATTTTGGAACCAATAAAAAAATCTTTAGTTTAGTTTAGTTTAATTTAATTCGTTTTGTTTATTTATTTGTTTTTTTAATTTCATTTGTTTTGTTTGAAAAAAGTCAACAAAACAAAAAAAGTTAAAAATTCAAAAAAAAAAAAAAGGGAAAAAAAGGAAGAATGAAATCAGTAATTTGTCCCAAAATCTTGTTTGCATTGAATTGGAAACAAAATCAAATCTTCTTCGAGAATATGTCCTAGACATCAAACTAGGTAGAATCCAATCATGAAAATCATGAGAAGTCAATAACAGATTCAACAATTTTGGATAGTCAAAAATCAAACCCCAAATTTAGGGATTCAATTGAGTTATTTCTTTTAAATTAAAGGGAGTTAAGCCCTATATAAATCATTCATACATGAAGAAATGAAAAAAATAGAAAGTGATAAAGGGGGGAAATGGTTTCAGCAAATTGGAGGAATTTAGATTTTTTTTTGTTTCTAGAAATTTTGGTGGGAGTCAATTGAACGGTGCAGATTTTCTAGGTGGAAGGCTAGGGTTTTTCTATTCTATGATTTCTGGAAAATAGAGAAAAAATCAAAACCTTTGGATTCATTCTGGGTTTTCTAGATTTTTGTTGTTTAAATAGGTTCTTCTTGAATTTTAGGGTGGATTTAGTGATTTTGGTTCTGGGTTTTGATTCTTCAGAAATAGTTTTGTTTTTGAGATTTTATCATGGATTGAAGTTTCTAGTGAAATTTTTAGGGAAATTAGAATTTTTTTTTTCTTTTTGGAAGTTTCTAGTATCATTTGATTTTTTGGGAATCTAGAAATATTTGGAAAATTTTTTCTTTTTCTAGATTTTTTTATTTGAATTTTTGGGAAAAAACTAGGTTTTTTGGGGTTTTTTTTAATGAATTTTTCAATGAGGTTTGGAAGTTTCTGAGGTACATGGCAGCCAGAAGGCTTTACATTGGCCAAGATCTGTGTTTTGAAAGATTTTTGGAAAGGTTTCAAGTTTCTAATGACAGGTTGAATTTTTCGATGTAAAAAATTAGGTTCATCTTGGCCGGTTAAAGCTTCTGATAGATTGTTTTAGAGAGAGCCGAGAGCATTTTTTACACAGAGAAAGAGATGGCCAAGGTAAGTCTAAAGGAAAACAAAGGATTTTTGGCATATATAGTGTAGCCAAAAAGGTACCATTTTAGAGAAGACCTTTGACATGTTAGCCTGCGTGTGACCATTGTGTCTGTCTACCTTCGGATCCGACCCGTTCCGCAAGTACTTCCCTTTTTTTTTTCCACTTCATTTTCTATTTCTATTTTTATTTTATTTTGTTTAGATATTATTATTATTATTATTATTATTATTATTATTTTACTCATTACCTTAAACTAAATAATTTATATTATTATTTTTTAATGTCTTTATTTTATTAATTTGTTTATAAAAAATAACCAAAAAATACGTCTAAATTAAGTTGATGAATCTTATCAAACTATTGGAGGATTTTTTGTAAATTTAAATTTTTATGAATTATACCAAACTATTAAAAAATACCATAAATTAAATTCTTTTTGCAAAAAAAATTTATAAAATATTTTGTTTCGATCCCATCAAACTATTGGAGGATTTGCATTTGAAATTAAATCTTACCAAACTATTGAAAAATTTAATGCATTTTCTAAAAGTAATTTTATAATAAACTCTCATTAAACTATTGGAAGATCTATGTCAAAGTAAATCTTATCAAACTATTAAAGGATTTTACTAATTATTTTTTAAATAAAATATATTAATGAATCCAACGACAGAGCCTTTTTAGAGTGTGACATTAGTCTCCATAATACTTTTAAGATGAGAGAATTATCTTAAATTGTTACTCAACTATTGGAGTAATTTTAAAATCAATTTTCAATATTAAATATTTTGGTAAATTATAAATATGATGAAGGCTTGAATAACCTGAAATCAAATTGGCATTATCTTTTGGATGGGCATTGTGAGGTTGCTATAATTTTTCTCATGCAAAACTATACTCCACAACCTAAAATCTGATTTCGTAAACTATAACCTACTATTTAAAGTTACCTAAGTCAATATTGGGATTTATTTTTAAAATAAAACAGATTTAATTAGGTTGCCAATCACACCTAAGCAAAAAAGATTGGTGGTGACTCTTTTAGTCTATATCTAACAGTAGGTACATGGATCTATACATTATGACAGTTTAATGACTTCACTGGAGATATCGAGAGTCAGGTCAGTAAATGATTTCTTGTTATCCAAGCCTAACCTAATAAATTTGAGATTTTTTTTCTTTTTTTCCTTGTTTGTATTTTATTTATTTATTTATTTATTCATTTTCATATATTTGTCATTCATTTGCATATGCATAACATTAGCTCTACACCTGAGTTTTATCCCTTATGAGGAAGTAAAGTATCTACGCTTTCATGAGATTTCATTTCTCCACATGGGCTAACAAAAAACTCCCACTTAAATTTAACCATTTCCTCTTATTGCTTATAATGGGTGATGATTGGGATGCCTTACTAGTCTATAATTGACAATGATGTAAGGAATAATTTGAGAACTTTTAGACTATCAAACTTTTAAACCTAGCATATAAGTAAACTTTAAAGGTTCGAACTCAAGTTAGAGCCATACCTTCCCTTATGTTAGAAAATCTTAAATAGGATACATAAGGGGATATTTATTTTACTTGTAAATTTATATATTTTCTTTTTATATATTATTTGCATACTAACCCTTTACT